GCCTCACCCAACCTGGCCTTGAACACTTCCAGGGATGGGGCACCCACAACTAGGAAGATTATATTATAATTATCATAATGTAATATATATATAATAATTATAATCTTCCTAGAGGTCTGGTTCTCTGGCCGTTACGGAGCAGAATTCAGGTTTGATATTGGTGGAGGAATTTCTTTATGAGATGTTTCTGGGTTTTGCCAGGGTTCCAACAACCTGCGCGTTGGCCCATGGAGGGTTTCCTTGAGGTCTGCTCTCCACAGGCACCGCACTTTCAGCCCTTTAACGTCCCCTTTGCCTTCAAGGTTGGTTTCTGGGAAACAGCAGTGGCATTTCCAGGGCTGCTTCACTGCAGACCTGCTCCTGCTTCCCACCAGCGCTGCTCCGCCTGCCCGTCCCCGTGCGGTTTTGCAACGTTTGCGGGTGCGCTCGCGGCGGGCGGTGGATTGCATTCTTGTGTTGCACAAGAGATTGTTTCTAAGGCACTGTCCCTACACTTCTAATAGCAATTGCGTCGAAATGAACGTTAATGAATTAAAGAAGAGCCCAACCACCCAACCTGCGCTCGGAGCAGGACCTGCAGGTGAATTTTTTTGGAGGATGGGGACGCGTGTGCTGGGTTTCTCGGCTCCTTGCTTTATGTTTAGCTACAGAAGATGGGTGCTAGCTGGGAAAGCAGAAGTACACCGGATGGGAAAAGGTGAGACACCAGCATGGGCTGTGGGGTGCAGAGTGGCTCGGCTGAGCTGAGGGGCACGGGGCAAGCGCTGGTCCTTGCCTTCACCCAGCCAGGGGGACGCTGTGGCACCCACTGGGGACGGGACCTCCAGCTACAGCACCATTCTGTAAAGCTCAGCGTGTAAAACACGCTGAGGGAGTGAGTGCCCCAGCTGTCCCTTTCTCCCCCTTCGAAGCGTGGTGAGCTCAGAAAACGTGATATTAAAACCCAACAATGATGCCTTTAGTGGTTCCTGTACCTTCATGTCTCTTTTGTGTGCAAATGCAGAGATTCCCCGTGTTTGCGTGACCAAAGGGCACGGGGCGTTAAGCACATCTGTGCCTGGGAGCCCCTGGTCTCGTGGCCAGGTACTATGCTGGGAAACGCTCCTGGAGCTGACTCTTCCTCTTTCTCCTTCTCTGGGGATGCTTAAACTGAGCCCGCTCGGGGGACGGCTGGTTGCCGGCGAGCGATTAATTACTATCTCGTTCTGCAGAGCTGTTCCTTCGCCCCCATCCTCCCCAAGGCCAGGCAGATCTTGGCACAACAGTTAAATCCCAGCAGGGGAAAGCAAAATCTGCTGAGGAAGGAGAGCAGATGTGCCCTCAGCCTTTTGCAGTCTACGGTGGGAAATGGTTATTTTAGCCGGCGATGTGCTGAGGGGTTTTGCCAGGACACCTGTTCCCACCTTGCCAGCAGAGCTGGTCCCACCACCGCGGTGCTTGTGGTGGGAACCACCACCATCGCTTTGACCATGGTTTGGGGACCTCCCCACCTCCAGCAGGAAGTGGAAGTCAGGAGGTTGACTGAAACCCCCAAAATGAAAAACCCTCAAAAATGAAAGAGCACATTGGGGCAGAGCCCCAACTCCTGCACACAGGGGATGTGTCGTACCCGCTGCAGCATCTACCGTGGGTTTTGCTTGTGTTGAACAAGGCACAGGCTCTGGGCCAGCCTGAGCTCACCGAAATCAGGATAGCAAAGCACAAATCTCTGCAGAAGAAGGACTCAAACCTGTCCAGACAACCTGTCCTTGATGGTCCCTTCTCTGAAGGTCCCTGTTGAAACATGGTGGCCCGTAGACAGAGCTAACAAAGCTTTTGTTCATTCTGGTGTTGCTTCATATATCTCCATGTATCCCATCTATTTGGATACAGCTCTCCCCGCTCCAGGATTAAATCCTCACTCCTGATAGCTGGTGTGGCCTTCCTGGGTGAAGGTGGAAAGTGTGAAACAATTTGGGATGCGAGTGCGAATGACCTACCATCCATGGTGGTGACTGCAGCAAGCGAGGAATCTTGATGTAAGCAGTCTGATTTTGTGGGTAGGAGGTTTTTTTTGATCATTTTGTAAGAGAGAGGATCTTTTCCTGTTTGGTTGTAAAAAGCTGCTTCTGCTTGGTGTAATCGGATACTTCCTTTTCTGAGCAAGGAGCCTGGTGTATTTGTGGGCATTTATTTAGGCAGCTGTACAGCTGGGTGATTAATTTTTGTATGTTTTCATTCTAGTGGGAAATGGTGAATTTTGGGTTTCCACGATTGATTTATTTTTTTGTATTTCTGACTCAAGTTACATGGAGATGAAAACGAGAGTTACAAATGTCTAAAGCCAGTGTTAAAATGTTATTGGGTCAGTTAATAAACTTGAAGTATGTTGGATACGTAGGGCAGACAAAGTAAATGTCTCCAAACATATTTTACATTTAAAACTAGCTGATTCATTAACTGGGGTATTAATTGTTCATAACGAATTACACTTCTGGTCACCATAACGAGTGATCTCGGCCTCTCAGGTTGCGGCTTTACTTGCAGATCGGAAAACGCGCGTTTCTCCGTTGTGCTCCTTGTTTGTTCCTTGACTCGTTGAAGTTAGGCGTTGAGCTGGACTGGGTGAATTAACTGAAATGAAGATGTTTTCTTTGTCCTTGTGAGAGAGCCAGACTCCCCCGAAAGCTGTGTTGGCACTTGGGTCTTTTCTGGTGGTGTTTTCGTCAGTGACTTTCCTTAAAACTTTGGCAGCCGGCGTATCATAGAATCATAGAATGTTTAGAGTTGGAAGGGACCTCAAAGACCATCTAGTTGCAACCCCCCTGCCATGGGCAGGGACACCCTCCACTACACCAGGTTGCCCAAAGCCTCATCCAACCTGGCCTTGAACACTTTCAGGGATGGGGCAGCCACAACTTCTCTGGGTGACCTGTTCCAGTGCCTCACCACCCTCACTGTAAAAAATTTCCTCCTTATATCTCATCTAAATCTCTTGTCTTTCAATTTAAAGCCATTGCCCCGTGTCCTATCACTACCTGTCCTTGTAAAAAGTCCCTCTCCAGCTTTCTTGCAGCCCCTTTTAGGTACTGGAAGGCTGCAAGAAGGTCTCCCCGGAGCCTTCTCTTTTCCAGGCTGAACAATCCCAACTCTCTCAGCCTGTCTCCATAGCAGAGGTGCTCCAGCTCTCGGCTCATCTTTGTGGCCTCCTCTGGACCTGCTCCAACAGCTCCATGTCCTTCTTACGTTGGGGGACCTAGAGCTGAACACTGTACTGCACTGGGGGATCTCACAAGAGCAGAGTAGACTGCTTGTTGGTCTGCTGGCTCTCAAAAGCAGGTTTTCTCAACCTTTTCTACTTGTCAGTGGTGATTTTGGATCAGCCTGTGGCATCTTCAGAAAGAAACAAGTCTTGTTTTCTTCTTGTTTAATGTCTTGCAAAAGGAGTCTTTCCTTCAAGCATGATTCCTTGGCATTTCTTGCGGGGGTAAGAAAGTCCCAAGATTCATTTGGTGTTATTCTGTGTTAAATGCCACCCCAGCCTGTTGTGAATGCCGTGGTTTACCCACATCTCTTGTGTGTGAGGCTGTAGGTGTCTGGTTCACCATGGGCCAGTTGCTTCTACAGTTGGAGAGCAGCCCGATGACTGTATTAGTCACATCTCAGTGCTGTCTGGATATTGAAATCAGCTGTTTCATGGCCAGTTGAGGAATTTCAGCCGAGGGTTGTGGATGTCTCAGTGGGGCTATAGCAGGGAAGAGAAAGCTCAGCTCGCCGGCGGACAGGGCTGCGCAGTGAGCTCATCTGGGCATTGCTCTTGCTCAGCTCATCGTCTTGCATCAGGTTTCAACAATTATTCAGCCCTGCAGTTGTATCTGGAAAACAATATTAAGAAGTTAGTCCCGCATCCTGAAGGCTTCTAGGGTTCTTCTTTCTCTGCTAACTTCAGGAGAAACCGGTGGTCAAAAATATTAGTGTTGGCTATTTTGAAGTTGGAAGATAAATGTTCCTGGCTTGTAGAGCTGTGGTGGGAGTTTCAAGCCAAAGGCTTTTTCTAGCACCTGTGGAAATGTTCTTCATCCATAGCATTTCATGGGGTCTAGTTTAGTTTTCCCAGGACGGCTCAACCACCTACAGAGGAGGAAGGGGGATTAGCAGGGTACTCTGTTACTGCCGGCATTTCTGGCCTCTGCTTCTGGCTGGAGTCGCTTCCTGGGGTTGTGTCACATTGTAAAGAAATAGAGAAATAACCCAGGCCATGGAGACAGAGGCTTTTCTTGCTGGGTGCTTTGCTGATGTTCCTCCAAGGTTTGTGCAAGGCGAGATTTTGGCTGTCCCTGCAGACTATGTGAGCAGAACTCTTAGGCAAGTTTCCCAGGCACAAGATCCGCTCCAGAAATTGTCTCCTTCTAGTCAACAAGCAAAACCCAGCGTGATCCATGGGGAACACCTGCCCTAGGGGCTGGTGTGTGTTGGACCTCGCTGGTGTGGGCAGCGGTGTTGGGGGTCAGCAGCCAGGTCTGGGAGGTGAAATTCAAACGGATGCCAGAAATTACAGGAGGAGGAAGGATCTGCAGTAGGGTAAATGAAGGAGAAGCCAACAGCATGTACTGATAACAACCTAAAGCTATTAGAGATGGGATGGAAGGGCTGATCTGACGAAAGACCCGAGGGTTGCCCTGACCAGCTGACATGCTGGATGCTACAAGCCTTCACCCCAGAACCATCTCATGGAGGTTTATGTCAGCATCATCGTTGGAAGTGCAGACTCTTCTATCTGAAAGAAAACCAGTGCCAAAAATCACAAAGTGAAGCACCAGCTGTCCTTTCATCCTTTTGTCCCTCACTGTTGTTCTGCAAGAAGGAAACTCTTGGAGCCTGTTGGACACCTCCATCCCTTGGTGGAAACTCCAGCTTTGGCTGGTTCCGGATGAGATATCTAATGGTTGAGTCAGCGATGCCTGTTCTGGGCAAACAGTGATGCTTTGCTGGTGCAAAGGCTCTACCTTCCTAAGGAGGGAACCCATTAGTGTGGAGCCAGGTGTTTGGGAGATGCGGATCAGCCCCAGGCAGAGGAGGAGGAGGAGGAGGAGGCACAGTGGTGGGTGAGGCACAATGGTGGGCAAGGCACTACAGACCTTACTTGGTGCAGCTCAGCATAGCACCGTAGCCACAGCTCACTGCTGGTCCTGCTTTCTTCATGTGTCTTGGCCTCTCTGACCATGCTACAGTTGTGAGAAGCAACTGTGCAAGTCCAGGCTTTTATTCCGAGCACCAGGGCATGGAGCTCAGCTGTGCTCCCATGGGTGTGAAAACACAGAATAGAAGCTGACACAGAAACGGCGATCTCCAGCACAAACCTCTTCTAGATCTACCTCCTGCCTTGTTCCTGAGACTGGCTGGTGGTCCTTCTGGTCCTCATCTTGGACCCCAACAATGGAAGCTGGGTAGAAGCTGCTGATGGAAGGAAATGATGTTGGGAGTGACAAGAAGCAGAAGCCTGTGCTGGAACGTGCGTTGCATCAGCTGGGAGTGCACGAGCTGCGGCGTGACTCAGCAGCGGAAGCAGCAGGTTTTGGATGAAGCTGTCTCCTGCAAAGTGAGCTTCAGGCTTAAGGTGTGGCTGTTGTCACGCACACGCATCGGCTGACGGCGCGCTATCATCTGCCGGGCGCCACACCACCACGAATCCATCACATGCAGAATTTCCTTCGCAGAAGCTTCCCGGCCGAAGGTATGTTTTCTGTCTAGGTCATCCCGAGTTCATTCGGCGCACGCTACCGGCGTCTTCCCTGGGAAATGAAACATCGACAAGAGCAGCTTAATGGCCCTGGCTGTCAAACAAAGCAGAAATATTCTCATTTTTAATCGGGGGATGGGGTCAACTCTGACAGCCCTTGTTGCTGAACAAGACATATGGCTGCCTGTCCGAGCAGGCAGCTGCCGGGTGGGCAAGAGGGATGTGCTTCCTTCTCCTTGCCACCCCCGGCCTGCCTGGCTTGGGGATGCTGCTGTGGGTTTGGGGATGCAGAGAGCACCTCTTCCCCCTTGTAGACAACCCGGAGCCTGCAAACAGGGCGAGAGGCACGGAGTAGAGCGGAGAGGCTGTTTATTTTCCTGTGTTCAGCACCACTAATGAAACCTGGATGAATTTCTCTCCTTGGCCAAGTGCGGGCGTCTCTGGCCGTGTCTGGGTTAATCTGTCGCATCCCTCGCAGCCACCACCCTCAAGCCCTTCTGCATCGATGTGTGGTGAAATGAAGAGGAGGATCTTAATAGCACTTACTGGAAAGTAAGCTCGGACCAGCCCAGCCTGCAAATTGCCTACATCTCCTGGGATCCCGTTGCCTGATTTTT